TTCAGCAGAGGGCATGCTGTGTGTCACTGGGACGCTGGGCCTTCAGGGAAACTGGAACTCTCTTGGCAGAAGGAGTCGAGTGAGGCCAGGGAGAGAGCCTGAGCTGGGCTCAGGAGGTCTGAGTCCTGACCCAGCCTGGCTGCTGGTGACTTGAGTCCCTTTGGCCAGTGTCTTTTCCTTTGTGGGTCTCAGGTTTCTCATGTGTCTGATGAAGGGGGAGCAGGTCAGGGGTGGCAAACGTGTGCTACAGCTACTGCCGCTTCCCCTCTTTCCCCTCGTGCGTCACGGTCCAGCCCACAGAGAGCCTCTGAATCCTTCTCAACACAGCTTCTCCAGCTACGGTGGCTACTATGAATCAGTTGCAGTGGGCCTTTGAGACAAAACCTAGGTGCCACCCCTGGATGGGTGACCTCTAGGGTCCTTCCTGTTCTAGAATTCTAGGCTTTCATGACTGTGGGTCCTCCTGGTTTCCCCAAGAGGGGCCATCAGTGGAGGGGGAGAGCGAGGTAAACTTGGACTCAGAAGAGGCAGTCATCCCATTTCATCCCATTTCTAGGGCTCCTCCTGCCTTCCTCCCGCCCTCCCTTCCTTCCTTCTCACCAGTTTTTGAGCCTGGCCCATATACCAGGGTCCTAAGCCCTTCATGTGCATATGATCCAGTTTTCTCCCCACGATCCCACGAAGGAGTCCTATCGTGACCCCTTTTTACAGGTGTGGAAACCGAGGCTCAGAGAGGGACAGTTACTGGCTCAAGGATCAAGAGACATGGCAGAGCTGAGTCCAAACCCAGGACTCTGCCTCCAAAGCCCAGCTTTTAAGCCCCTTCCTTCTTTTGGACCCAGAACCTTCTTACCCTCCAAAGCTGGTGTAATTAGGAAGGGTGGTTGCAAACGCTGGCATTCCTCCTGGTGGCACTGAAGTTGGAGATGGGGACGCAGATGAGGCCCAGATGCAGAGATGCATGGTATGTCCTAGGGGGAGGGACTGTGGGCTCAGCGCCCCCCACCCTTGCCCCTGCTTTTCCAGATGTGGACGAGTGTCTGGAGCAGATGGACGAGTGTCACTACAGCCAGATCTGTGAGAACACCCCAGGCGGGCACCGCTGCGGCTGCCCCAGGGGGTACCGGGTCCAGGGCCCCGGCCTGCCCTGCCTAGGTATGGGGAGAGCCACCCCCTCCCTGGGACCCTGGTCAGCACCCACAGCTCACGGGCAGGGATCGGTTATGACGGGTGACGCTGAGTTCTGTGAATAGTACAGCGGCCGACGCCGATTGCGTGCCCACCATGTGCCTGATCCGTGCTTTGCCTTCTGTTTCCCACCGAAACCTCACCCCCTGCCCGGCCAGGTCACCTTCCCTGGGAGCCCAGGAGGAGGAGGCGGGTGGAGAGAAGTGGGTGGGTCTCAGAGAGGCTTTGCAGGTGGAATGGACCTCACCAGGAGGCTGAAGGGAGGGGTGCTGAGGGACACTGGGGTCTGGAGCTCAGAGCTGGGGGTGGTGCGGGGTCCTCTCTGAGCAGTAGAGACTGGAGCAGGAGAGGAGGCTGGGGGTGGTCCAGGAGAGGGAGGGCTTGGGGGCAGGCCTGTGTGCACGGGTGAGGCAGCTGGATTCTGGGGCGGGCCGGAGCAGCAGAGGCGGCTGGAGCCCGGTGGAGCGGCTGCAGCGCGCCCTGAGCCACCTTGGCACCCTGCCCTTCTCCAGATATCGACGAGTGCCGGCAGCTGCCCCGGAGCTGTGCCTACCAGTGCCACAACCTCCAGGGCAGCTACCGCTGCCTGTGCCCGCCAGGCCAGACCCTCCTCCGAGACAGCAAGAATTGCACCCCGCTGGAGCGCAGTGAACCAAACGTGACCACTGTCAGCCATCGGGACCCCTTGGTGGCCTGGCTGCGTCCCCGCGCCCCTGTCCCCGGTGGGTCCTACCACGCCTGGGTCTCCCTCCGACCGGGCCCCAGAGCCCTGAGAGTGGGCCGGGCCTGGTGCCCTCCTGGCTTCATCCAGCAGAACGGTGTCTGCACGGGTAAGACCGAGCCCCAGCCGTGCCCACCGGGGACACACCCCGCTATGTTGTCTCAGGCTCCTGGGCTGGGCGTGTGGGCACCACACCCGTGTTCAGAAACCCAGAGTTCACAGGCAAGTGGGGTAGGCGGTGCAGGCAGGTGGAAGCCTCCTTGCTATAAGGTTTCTTGGAGTCCTGGCTGTGCTCATCCGCAAGGGGCTTCCATAGTGGGTGGAGTCCTTTCCAAACCATTCGACTTCAGGACACTTTACCCAGAGGGAGGGCAGATGTTCCCAGGAACGCACTTTGAGAACATTCCTCTTGGTGTGCAGAGGTAAAGCAGTCAGGGAGGGAAGGAGTATGTTCCAGGTTGACATGAGAATGTGAACAGGGACTGGGGGGTGCTACAGGGGCAGGGGGTGTCGAGGAGAGTCCCTGGGCCCTGCGGAGACTGGCGCCGGGCTGCAGAGGTGCGAAGGGGGAGGGTAGCCTGGAGGGCGGATGTGCTTCAGCGTTGCCACCTGGGCAGAGGGTGTCCTGGAAGCGCTGTCTCCACCCCCCATGCCTTGGTGCGAACCAAGCCCAGGGACTCTCCTAACCTCACGATCCAGCGTTGGGTGGGGCAGGGCAGGGAGATGGCCCGGTGCCTAAGGCAGGGACTTCCCTGGCTTGTCCTGAGCCCTGCGGGTTAGTCGTGTGGCCACCTGGGCATCTGTGACTAAGTGTTTCTCTGTCCCCATCCCCCCACCCCACCCCCATGCCCCGGGCCAGACCTGGACGAGTGCCGGGTGAGGAACCTTTGCCAGCACGCCTGCCGAAACACCGAGGGCAGTTACCAGTGCCTCTGCCCCCCTGGCTACCGCCTCCTCCCCAGCGGGAAGAACTGCCAGGGTGAGCAGGAAGGAGCTCCTCTCACCCAGTCTGCTCTCTCCAGCCCCTTCCCAACCATCTCATGTGAGGGAGGGGCAGGGAGGGGGTAAATGCCACCCCCAGGTGGCCAGAGCCAGGCCGGGACACACACTCCAAGCAGGAGCTAAGAAACCGCATGGGCAGGCTCTGAAAACAGTCCTGGGGGTCGACTGCTGCTCTCCTGTGAGTCACTGGGCCTCTGTGTGCCTCAGTCTCCTGGTGAGACGGGGCTAACAGAGCCCTCCGCTAAATGTTGGGAAGAGACGTGTGGGGGGTGGGCACAGAGCCGGTGCTTGCAGCAAGGCAGCCGCTGCTGGGAGTAGCAGGGAAGTCCTCCAACTCCCAGGCCCATGCCTTTTCCCCAACTAAGGCGCTCTGGGGTCCAGCCAGCCATGCTGCCTCTTCCCTGGAAAGCAGGAATCACGTCCGCCTCTTGCCAGTCTCCATCCCTCCCTCTCTTGTCACGGGGGTCAGTGAATGTCCTCTGAGAGAGTGGGGCTCCTTCGGGGCGCAGAGAAGGATCATGGGCAGTGGCTCCTCTGGGTCCGAGGGCAGCCCTCATCTCCCCCAGCCTCTCCACCCCAGCTGTAGCCTTAGGAGGTCCCCAGAGTGCCCACCTGGGGAAATGGGGAGGTGCTAGGAGATTGCCACCTGGGCTGTCATGGGTCAGGCTGGCTGGGGACCGGGGAAGGGGCCGTGCACCTCGCTGCCCTCGGAAGGCATCTCTCTCCCACTTAACCCTCCCCCCACGCCTTCCCTGGCTCCTTCTTGGGCCCCTGCCCGCTTTGCTCCATCTTTTTACCCGCCCCCCGTCTCTTCACCCGCCTCCCTGCCCAGACATCAACGAGTGTCAGGAGGACAGCATCGAGTGCGGGCCCAGCCAGATGTGTTTCAACACCCGGGGCAGCTACCAGTGTGTGAACACACCGTGTCCTGCCACCTTCCGGCAGGGCTCAAGCCCTGGGTAAGGGCTGAGTTGGCAAGGGGGTTAATGGGGAGGATTCCCTGCCAGGATCTGGGCAGCTGACACTCTGGCTCCTGTATAGCCAGAAGGAGGAAGGAGGGCCTCCAGGAAGGCCCTGTCTCGGGCAGAGACCCTCTTAGGGTCAGTGGGTCAACCCTGCCAGGACTCCTGGGCGGGGCCCCTGAGCTCACGGGGCAGTGTGCCCTCAAGCACTTTCCTGCATCCACTTGGGGTGTGAGCTCACCTGGACAGTATCATTTCCTGCACAGTGATGCTTGGGCCATGCATGGAGCACAGGGGGCTGGGAGACGCCAGAGTCGGGAGAGAACTGGAGGGAGGGGTGCTGGGAGATGGACACACAGGGACACATGGGAACACATGCATACATTCAGGAAACTCTGGACACAGGAACACACGGGCAGGCGCATAAACCCCACCCAGAATCCCACACAAAACCCCAGGGCTCAGACATGCGCAGCTACACAAACACAAAATACATTTCTCTCACTATGGCTACAGACACTCCTAAACACGCACAGACATGGGGACGGACCTTGGCTGGCACCAGCTGCAGCTGTTAGGGAAAGGATCCTGGGGTGGCGACTTGCCCCGGACTCTACTAACCAGGAAGCCTAGGCTGGGGTGGGGGGAGAGAGGGAGTGGGCGCCCTTGGCAAGGCTGAGCACGAGTCTTTGAGCACAACCCCACCCCCACCCCCAAATCCAGAGCCCGTGACTCAGTTCTGGGGCTCCGGGGGACATGGAGGGCTGTAAATTTTATCACCTATGGGGGGGACCTGCTCGGATGCGAAAGGGCACGTTTCTGGCTTTCTGGGGCCTCAGTTTGCCGCTCTCTAAAATGGGCTAACAGTGGCGCTTGTAGAGAGGCACAGGGCGCGTGGGGTTGGGGGGTCGGCGCATGGCTGAACTGCGGGGGTCGGGGGTGAGATCCGCTTTATGCGACCGGGGAAACTCAGATGGCAACCCAGAGTCCGTCGGTCTGTCCCGCCCGCAGGACGTGCTTCCGGCGCTGCTCGCAGGACTGCAGCGCGGGCGGCCCCTCCACGCTGCAGTACAAGTTGCTGCCGCTGCCCCTGGGCGTGCGCGCCCTCCAAGAAGTGGCCCGCCTGGCGGCCCTCTCCGAGGCCGGCGTCCCCGCCAACCACACGGAGCTCAGCGTGCTCGAGTCGGACCCGCGCAGCCCCTTCGCCCTGCGCCCGCTGCGCGCCGGCCGCGGCGCGGTCTACACCCGCCGCGCGCTCACCCGCGCGGGCCTCTACCGGATCACCGTGCGCGCCGCGGCGCCGCGCCACCAAAGCGTCTTCGTCCTGCTCATCGCCGTGTCCCCCTACCCCTACTGAGGGTCGCGGTCATGGGCAGCGGCTCTGGGGCCAGGGACCTCCGGGGATGGGGGGTGGAGAGGCCCCGGCCGCACCGCCCAGGTGGCCCTTGCCCACGCCACCTGCTGTGGCAAGCGACGTCATCTCCTCCCGTCCCCGTGCGTCAGCGAGACCTGCAGCAAACACGACCCTGCGCGCAGCCTTGACCCCGGGACAGCGAGAACCCGAGCTCCCCCTAATTCCCCGCTCCCCCCGTGGGGGTGGAGCCCGGCAGGCAGGTGACAAAGGTTGCCCTTAGGTAGCAAAGGGCAAAGGGTTGGGGTGAAGCCTGAGCAGCTTCTCCAGGCTTGCCCCAAGCCCCAGGGGAACCAGGCCCAGGACACAGGGCACCAAGAGACCCGAGGGGAGGGGCAGACCCTACCCTGTGGGGATGGCAGCAATTGTCGCCCGCCCATACCTGGCACTGTCATTCTGAACCCAGTGTGTGTATGTATACTATAAAAACGTTTGCTTTTACCAATTCGATTTCTTGATCCAGTTATTTTGCTTTGGTAAGGAGGGGCTTTGGCTGGGAGGGAGACTACCACCCTTCTGGTCCAGGAGCACGAGAGGAGGAGTCCAGGAGCCTCTGCTCTTTATTCGTAGGGTGGCTCTGGCACCTTTCTGGGCTCAGTTTACTCATCCAAAAATATGAAAATACGACAGTGTCCCCACCTCCAGGGCTGTGGGGAGAATTAAATGAGAAGGAAATTTATCACACAGACAGCAGCTATCCATGGTAGCAAAAAGTAATGCTTAATTAAGAATAATTCCTAATTATATTTAATGAATTAATTAAATTTAATCATTCCGTCATCCACCAAAGATTCATTAGGTCCTGCTTATGTGCCAGGCAGTGAACGTGAAAATCCCTGTGCTTGTGAACTTACATTCTTCGGGGCGAAGGGTTTATAAACAGCAAGGAAATGAAGAATGAAATGTGTACTTGTCCATCAGCGAGGGTGCTGGGGAGAAAACCTAAGTTGGGAAGTGCGGGTTAGGGGGCAGTTTTTTTTTTTTTTTTAAATATGGAACGCTTCACGAATTTGCGTGTCATCCTTGCGCAGGGGCCATGCTAATCTTCTCTGTATCGTTCCAATTTTAGTATATGTGCTGCCGAAGCGAGCACGGGGTGGGGTGGGGGGTTAGTTTTCAATAGGCTGTCAGCGCAGGCCTCACTGAGAACACGGCGTCGGAGCAGAGACCTGAGGAAGGTGAGGGAGACAGCCGTGCAGACATCTGCGGGAAGAGTGTCTTGGCAGAGGGAACAGCAAATACCAGGGCCCTCTGGCAGGAGGATGCTCTGGGGTGGAGGTCTGGCAAGGAGGTGGCGGGGGGGTAGCTGGAGCTGGGGGTCGGTGGGGGGAAGGAAGAGGGAGGTGTGATTAGAAAGGTAAGCGGGGTGGGGCAGATCCTGGGAGCCTCTGGGCCTGTGTAGGGCTCTTGGCTTTGACAGGGGGAGCTGGGGAGGGACACGATTAGAATGTCTATGTATGTATTGACCTGTCTCCAGTGTGCTGGGACAGGACTCCTGAGAAGCCCAGCGCTGCTTTTCCTCCCACTCCCCCCGACCCTGTCCCTGCCCTCCTACCTGCCCCTGCCAGCTGTCCCTCAACACAGTCTCTGGCAGAAGGAGGCTGTCTCTCTTGCACGTGGTTCTGGAGAGGCGGGATCCTTTCTTCCGGCTGTCTTTGGTCAGTGTGACTCTGTCACCTACCCCTTAGCATCCCCGTCTCTCATCTGGGCAACAAGGAAAGCTGAGTTATTTCCCACTAAGGTATGAATGACCATCAGACTTCATAAACGGAGCCTTCCAACAATGCTGGGGTGAACAGAGAAGGAATCCCTGTGTGCATTTTACAGATGGAGAAAAGGACACCCAGAGGGAACATGGCCCAGTCACTTGCTTGATAGGTGACCGATTAATGGTTAGACGGGGACTCCCGACTCCCACCAACAGCCCCAGCTGAATCTTCCCCAGGGCACTCCCACTTTCAAAGTTGGTTTCTTTTGAATCAGAGGTCTGCAAACATCTTCTGTAAAGGACCAGATAGTGAATCTTTTTGGCTTTGGGGAACGTATTAAACTACTCCCCTGGCCGTTGCAGCGCAAAAGCAGCCACAGTCAACACACGAAGGAGGAGTGTGGCTGAGTTCCAGTAACACTGTGGACTCTAACTTTGAATTCATGTAATTTTCATGTGTCGTGGAAGTCATTTTTTTTTTCAACCATTTACAAATGCAAAAACCATTCTTAGCTTGCAAGCTTTACAAAACCAGTTAGGGACCATAGTTTGCCAATCCCTGGTTTAAAGCACAGAAGTTACCAATGGTGAAATTTCAGGCTGGGTGGGGAGAGATTCCAGGAAGGAGGGAAGCAGGGAGGGAGGGAGGGGCTTCCCGGTTCCCCCTCATACTCCATTTGTCCAGGGCCCAACCTGTAGAGACTTTACTTGGACTGAACTACCCTCTTTGTGCAGCCCTAGGGGCCATGGGTCACAACTTGACCCCTGCCGTTTGCTGGGCTGTTAATATTTTATGGAGCCAGGGACATTGCAGCCCATGCAAGTGTCAGCCCTGGGGCCGTGGCATTGAAGCGCTGAGAACTGCTGCTGTCTCCTGCCTCGTGCTCCCCAGACTCACCCTGGCCCTTCATGTTTGTCAAAATACCATCTGTTGACTGTTCAATGCCCTATAGACCTGAGTTTATTTAATTCTCCCAGGAACTCCAGAGGCAAAGAATATTATGTCCATTTCACAGATGAGCGATGGGGGCTCAGAGAAGGTGAGCCACTTGTCCAAGCTCACACAGCATGGAGGGGAGGGGAAGAGAAGGACTCGATGCAGGCCCATCTGACTCTGCAGCCCAGGCCTCCAGCCTCCAGGCTCCCCTGCCTCCATTCTCTGAGGAGGGAAGATGGGGAGCAGAGGAAGGTCCAGGCGCAGAGGCTGAAAAGGAGGGACATCAGCAACTCAAGCCCGGAGGAGCTGCCAAGGGGAAAAAAATGACTGCGTTCCGTCGGCCTCCTTTCTCTCCCACCTTCTCTTAAATTTCTCATTTGAGGCTCTGAAACAGAGGCAAGTGAGAAGGAGTGATTGCTCAAAGTCCTACAGCGAGCCAGGGGCAGACTTGGCCTGGAATCCAGGCTGTGATACCGAGTCTTGTGCTCCCCACTCCACCCACATCCACAGGATGGTTGCCGAGGAGAGGAGGTGCCTCCCAAGGGAGCTCAGCCGGCTCCAAAGGGGTGTTTTCCAGTCTGCTTTTCCAGCTGCCGCCACCATTGGCCAGGGCCCCATCCAGCTGCCCGGCCTCTGAGGCTTCTCTGAACCATCAGGGGTGGAAAACAGCCCTGCAGGTCACTCATTAAACTCCCTGATGCAGCTTTTCCAAGAACCCACACTAGACTTTATGTTCCCTCTGGGCAGGGACTGGCAACCTGGGGTCCAGCCCAGAGGACACTCTTTGTTCCTGGGGCCAGTGCCCAGGCCTGGACAGCAGCAAAGTGGCTTCTGGTGCCAACCATGAGCTGGTTGCTGGGCGACGTGCTTGGGGTCGCTACACACCCAGGCCCCTCCACGACCTACAAGTGCAGAGCCCTTGAGTGGCAGAGGAGAGACGGAAGATAAGAGGGACCTACTCCACGGTTAGGTACACAGGCTGCATCTATGTTTTTAGGTTGCCAGGGGATTTACCAAGGTCACATCCATTGAGTGTGCCCTTCAGTTCAGACAAGTTGACCCCACAGTCAGAGCTGACCCTTGGAAAAGGCACCCTGGCTGCAGTGTGGAGGGTGCATTAGAGCGGATAGGAAGACAGGTGAGGTGTCTCCTGCAGAGGTACGGGTGAGAGGTGATGGTGATCTAAGACCACAGCAGTGAGGGGAATTCCCTGGTGGTCCAGTGGTTAGGACTTGACACTTTCACTGCCGTAGGCCCAGGTTCCATCCCTGGTTGGGGAACTAGGATCCCGCAGTCTGCATGGCACAGCCAAAAGTAAATAAGTAAATAAATAAAATAAAAAGGGGGGAAAAAAAAGAGAAAGACAACAGCAGTGGGGAGAGGGGGAAGGGACCAGAGCCCTCATTTTCCTCTCGTTTGTTGCCGGAGATTTCAGGCAACTACTGTGTGCCAGCATGAGAGACAGTATATGACAAGGGACCAATCTGGTGGGAGGAGGGGAAGGGGTCAGAGAAGCATCCCCGAGGAATAGTATGTGCAAAGACCGTAAGACAAGGAAGGGCTTGGCACGTTGAAGAAATTGCAAGCAGGCCAGTGCAGCTGGAGTGCAGCGGGTGAGGGCAGAGGAGGAAGGACAAGGTTCTAGGTTTTACCCTAAGAATGATGGGGGACCATCAAAGTCTTCATAGAAATCACTTCAATTCATTAATATTTCAGAATTCATTATCTCTAAACTTTAAAGAATCTTTTTAAAAACAATATCTACAATACCATTATCATACTTTAAAAAATCAACAATAATTCCTTGCTATCAAGCATCCTGTCAGTGTTCAAAGTTCCAATTGCTCATAAAGATGGTGTTTCTTTTTTGCTTAAAAAAAAAAAAAACAACCAGGGTTTCCCTGGTGGCGCAGTGGTTGAGAATCTGCCTGCCGATGCAGGAGACAAGGGTTCAAGCCCTGGTCTGGGAAGATCCCACATGCCACAGAGCAACTGGGCCTGTGAGCCACAATTACGGAGCCTGTGCGTCTGGAGCCTGTGCGTCTGGAGCCTGTGCTCCGTGACAAGAGAGGCCGCGATAGTGAGAGGCCCGCGCACCAGAACGAAGAGTGGCCCCCGCTTGCCACAACTAGAGAAAGCCCTCGTACAGAAACGAAGACCCAACACAGCCATAAATAAATAAATAAAATTAATTAAAAAAAAAATATTCAGGGATTCAGGCCTCTGACCTTCACTTCAACAAGATACTTCTGCTTTAAAAAACAACAACAACAAAAAAAAACCTACAACTAACATCACACT